TTTCTTTCATTGATAAGCATTCTCATGTGAACCCAACCCTATATATATATATATATTCTTATAAAAGGTATTTAAATTTTCAAACTACTTTTTCTCATTAATTTTAAATTTTAAGAAAAAAATTAACAAACACCCGTGTAATACACGAGTGTTGTACTAGTTTAAATAAATTGATAAAATTATAACTATATATATACACACGCAAACTAAAAATTTCATTCATCTTGACCAAATAAATTGATAAAATTATAACTATATATATACACACGCAAACTAAAAATTTCATTCATCTTGACCAAATAGATTATTGTACCCAATAATGGCTCCGAAATACTTGTTATGGTTATGTGGGTTTGTCGTGGCCGCCGTAATTTCAGCCGCCGAGTACCGCCGGCCACCTCAACGGAGGATGCTTTCTGAATCGCTAATTAAAGAACTCGATGACGTGGGCCCAACTTCTCCCCAACAGGTATAATAAATTAATTAATATAATATTTTATTTTAAATTTTCCGGCCATGTTTTCCACTGGTTAATATTTGCTAAAATATGTACATAGGACTACATTTTGTTTATAAATCAATTCTAAAAATATTTTCATAAAATATTGATTTTTGTAATGTCAAAATTTCTATAAATCTAAAAATTTATCATAATATATAGAATAATATAAAATTAAATTATATTTGGATAATTCTAATTTTCCGCGTCAAAATTATCCGTATCCATTAAAAATATTCATTTTGTGGGAAACTTAATATGCTGATTTTATTTATTAAATAAACTGAGAAATAAATAATTTATACTATGTACCATAATTAAAAATTTGGAAAGTTTTAAAGAAAATGACAAATAAACATTTTATACTAAGTACCATAATTAAAAATAAGTTGGTACTCATTGCAATAATGTATAGAAAATGTATATTATGAATCATATATATAATATTGAAGAAAATAAATGTAAATATCACCATTTATGTATTTATTTTTTTCTTGGATCAAAAAGGTGCATATATCTTTGAGTGGGCCGAACCACATGAGAATCTCATGGATCACTTCATATCCAACTCCGCCAGTTGTGTACTACGGCCCAAGCCCAGGCCCAGGGTCCAAAAGATTCTCAGCCAATGGAACCACCAATCAATATGGCTATTTGACTTACCAATCCGGACAAACGCACGACGACGTTATCGGCCCATTGGACCCAAACTCAGTGTACTATTACCGCTGTGGCTCACCTTCCTCTCCGGAGCTCACCTTCAAAACTCCTCCATCACAATTTCCCATCAAATTTGCAATCTTACGTAAAAACTTTAACTTACTAATTTATGCTATATATCTAGAGATGCAAAGGAGTCCATCGCTCCGCGAGCGTTACTCGAGTCAACGCTCGACTCAAGCTTAATCGAGCTCGAGTCGAGCTCGCATTTCGAATTCAACTCGAGCGATCAAGTTCGTAGTTTGTATGCTCGAGAGCTCGATTATCCACTCGAATGTATGTAAATTTACTAAAACACCCCTTATTAAACATTTTTAATTGATATTTTCGAGTTGAATTCGAGCAAAATTCGAGCTGATCTCGAGCGTTTGTGTTTTTGTTGTTGAGTCGATCCTCGAGCAAGACAGACTCGTCCAGCTCGAGCAGCTGTCAAGATAATTGAGCATGCCTAAACTTCGACTAAGCTGAGCTCGTTTATAGCCCTACAGTATCCCAATTCAACCTGATTAATAGATATATTTTTTGTTCAAATGTATCTTACCAACAAGAACATATAACAACAATATCAATTAGTTTATTTTGTGGGAGATCAGATCTCTTGTTGGACAGAGTGCATGAGACGCGTACAAATATGACGCTATTATATACACATATAATGCATTCAATGAAACGAAACGCGAAACAAAATTACATTCATAAAATGCAGGTGACCCTGGTCAAACCGAGTACACAAAGTCAACCCTCGACCACATGTCGAAAGCGGGATACAACGTCCTTATACTAGCGGGCGACCTAGCGTACGCGGACTTGAAGCAACAGTTATGGGATGCCTTTGGACATCTCGTGCAGCCGCAGGCCAGCCGCCGCCCGTGGATGGTCACCCAAGGCAACCACGAAATCGAGAGAATCCCTTTCATACACAAGAAAAAGTTCACATCGTACAACGCCCGGTGGGTCATGCCATACGACGAAAGCGGGTCCCCCTCCAACTTGTTCTATTCCTTTGAGACGGGAGGGGCCCACATCGTCATGCTTGGGTCGTACGTTGATTTCGAGCCAGGGTCGGCCCAGTACAGGTGGCTGCAGTCCGACCTGGACCGGGTCGACCGCGGGAAAACCCCGTGGCTCGTGGCTATAACGCACGCGCCGTGGTACAATACCAACAATGCACATCAAGGTGAGTACGAGTCGAGCGTCATGAGGGAGTCCATGGAGGATTTGCTCTACAAGGCAAGCGTCGACGTGGTTTTCGTTGGTCATGTTCATGCGTACGAACGCTTTGTAAGCTATATTTTTCGAAATTTTTTGTTGTTTTTTAGTGAGTTTCAATTATGTGTTTTTTTAACGTCATGTGTATGTAAAAAGTGTGGACGTGCTTAATTTTTGTATTTTTTTATGCTCGCTTTGAAAAATGTAGGTGCGCGTCTACAAGAACATGGCCGATAAATGTGGGCCCGTGTACATAACAATTGGGGATGGGGGTAACCGCGAAGGCCTTGCTACGAGGTAATGTATATCTTATTTGAGTTGGAGCCAAGTCGAGCAGCTTATGTTCGAGCTCATGCTCATTTAATAAACAAGCCAAATATTATATTACGTTTTTTTTAAGACAAAATGGTTTGAAATTATTACATTTTTTGGACAGTTACATTGATACACAGCCAAGTATTTCGGCGTTTAGAGAGCCGAGTTTTGGGCACGGGCAATTTCAGATAGCAAATGCATCTCACGCTTTGTGGACATGGCATAGAAACGACCATGATGTTGCTGTTGCATCCGACCAAATCTGGTTAACAAACCTCGCGATGCTTACCAATTGTTCTTTAGTTATCATCTAAACAGTGTTTATCAAAAAGCGTTTTTAATTTCCTACACGCATTCGTGCATGGCCTGCATTCTTATAGATTGTGGCCCGAATAGATCCTTTCGTAACGTAACCTTTGTCCTACTCAAGCGAGAGCATTAATTTGACTTCTCGCTCGTTTTGGGACGACTAGGCTGGGAAACAAGTACATTGAGTATCATTAGTGATGATGAAGATAGAAGATATTGTCCAACATAATAACAAAATTAAACATGATTCTTGACCTTGTTGAGAACCTAATGATAAGTTTGTGGTCCTCACGGGGAATGAAAAGTATGGATATATGGTGAAGGATGGGAAAAAATAGGTCCTACCCGATTGAGTAATAGTAATACTAAAATAATCAACAAGTGATTTATTTGTAACAATGTTATAAGTTCATATTTGGGTATGCCGGTAATCCACAATCGGGTGAACAAGTCCACTTATGCTGAGCTTGTGGAGAAAACAGAAAAGAGGCTTGCCGGCTGAAAGGCTACAACCCTTTCACTGGCCGGAAGGGTAACTCTGGCCCAAGCGGCGATTAGCTCTTTGCCCTATTTTTTAATGCAAGCGGCTTCATTACCATATAGGGTTTGCGATAGCTTGGAACGCAAGTGTCGTAACTTTGTTTGGGGTGGGATGGAGTCAAATCGTAAGGTGAGTCTCGTTTCTTGGTCGGAAGTGTGTCAACCAAAGGAGGAAGGGGGTTTGGGGATGAAGGACCAAAGACTCATGAACCGTGCTTTACTTATGAAACTAGATTGGTCCTTTTTGTCGCAACCGCAATTGTTATGGTGTCGGGTGCTTCGGGCCAAATATTAGCTTGTCCCAGGCGAGATAGGTGACGACTTTGTTTTTCCTCGTGGCTCGACTGTTCTCCGGGCAATCCGTTGTGCATGGAAAGATACCCTCGCCGGCTGTTGCTGGAACGTGGGAAATGGGCGGCGAGCCCGGTTCTGGTGGGACAAGTAGGTTAACTTCGGTGCTCCGTTGATTGGCTCGGCAATAGGCCCGGTACCAGAGGCTCTTCTCTTTGCTTCGGTCTCGAATTTTGTTACGCCGGCTGGGGAGTGGCATTGGGCTCTTTTCTAAAATCTGCTGCCAGTCACATGCTTATTGCGAATTGCTGCTATTCCGCCGCCGAGGGTGGATGGTGAGGACGACGAGATGTATTGGGGTTTGGAGGCGGACGGCCGCTTCTCTACGCGGTCCGCCTACAGGGCTTTATCGCAACCGGCTACTGACCGATTGTGGAAGGCGATCTGGAGATGGGTGGGCCCACAGCGGGTGCGCACCTTCTTGTGGCTCATGGCCCGGAACAGCCTTTTAACGAATGCTTCACGTTATCGGCGGCAGATGGCAGCAAGCCCGACCTGTGAGATATGTCTCAAGGACTGTGAGTCGACGTTACATGCATTGAGAGATTGTGAGGCAGCGTCATCTATGTGAAGGAAGCTCCTGCCTCGTCGCTATTGGAATGGGTTCTTCGCTTTGGATATTCGACGGTGGCTTGTGGAAAACCTTACTGGGGACTTGAGTCGGGCTTGGGAGGATTGGTGTTCGTTGTTTGGTCTTACGGCCTGGAGACTATGGCGGTGGCGGAACATCAAGCTTTTTCAAGCCTCCGATATCCCTTTGGATTGTAGAGTGAGCGAGGTATTTTCTTTTATGGAGACGAAGAGATGTGTTGCGGATGGGGGTCGGGTCGTTGGTGCACGGGGTACTCGGGAAAGGCGTGTTGTTATACGATTTTGTAACAACATAAAACGTACACCTCTATTCCGTGAATAACGGGTGTAGAATTCATATGGATTTGTAGTAGATTTTTCTCTAGTGTATTGAATGAAAAGATTAAAAGAATTGAATTTGTAAAAATTATATTGATGAAGAAAAAGGAGAAAGACAAAGGCGGTGCCTTTGTTTTGTTATAGGATAAAGGAGAAAATTTTTAGGTGCCCCTCAGAAGACAAACTTGTCATGCCCATCCATCATTGGGATTTACATATATATATAGATATTTATTGGGCCCGATATTATTACAAGCGGTATTATTCGTGGGCCTGAATAATAAGATAAAATATAATAATTGACTTAATGTGTATCCATATGATTTAATACGTATATCCACGTGGAGTATCTTAATAAGCGAGGCCAAAATTAGGTAACAACAGTAGGCCCCCGACTTTAGAATACGTTCTAAATGGAACTGTTCTGAAGTCGCATGTATAGTCAATTTTGCCATTTTTTTATCTATATCATGAGCTTAAGGCTTTTTATGTAGTGATAGATGACATATGGACATTATTCGGGTGCTTCAGGACCCGAAGTCGCTTTTATCGATCGTGTTCAGGCTTCGGTCTGACGTATTAATGCTAATCGTGTTTTTTGTTCTGAGAATGAAGTCGACTGCGTGGATAGTCAGTTTTTTGAATTTGCTATATAAATGGAGGCCTGGAAGGCCTAATCGGGTAATTTGGTACCTAGTTGTCATGTTTTGCGCGTAATATGATGCGGTTTAATGGATTCGCGTCCGTAATGCTGATAATGATATGGCTTTGTGTGAGACTCGGGCCCCATGATATTGTTTATGGGATTCGCGATTTTGATGTCATACTGAGACGACGCGATTTTTTATTTTGTTGGTTAATTTTCTGAGTAGTCTAGACCTAGTCGGATAATTCGGTATCCGGTCTTCGGTCTTGTAATGTTTTTAAGGATTATGATCGTCCCAGCTAGTAAGTCTTTATAGTACGCCTCAACAATGTGGGTCTTTAAGGAATATAAGAACGGGTATCAGCCTTACCAAGCTGAAGAACTTGGTGTAAGTAAAGGCTCTACCCTACCGAGTTAAAGAACTCGGTGTAAAGATTTTTTTTTTTTATAATTGCCAGCCGGGAAGGGTTTTATTGATTGTAACTAACTAGTGCGAGCCCAAACATATAAGAGTGTTTGGTGTATTGTATGTATTTATTTATATATTTTTTATTTTTATCGATCAGATAATATGTTCATGATCTTTAATGTGACTTATAGGGCATTAGTCTTGCCAAACCAACTTCAGGGTTTGGAGAAGAAATATTCATGTCAAGATGCATGTATGACGCGCGTATATGATGAATGTATGTATGAATGTATGTATGAATGTATGTATAAATAATGAGCACGTGCGAGAAATAATTACTGTACGATAAATGATGTTACCTCGATGTCTTGTCGAGTCTGACTTTTTTGCCGGTAGGTACTATGCCTTGTCGGAATATTATTCGCACCAAATCAACTTCAGGATTTGGCAAAAGAACATTATTGATGTCGATTATTATTGTAAGCCCGCTAAACCAACTTCAGGATTTAGCCACGAGGGGCATCAGCCTCCCCAAGCCATCTTCAGGGCTTGGAAGTATCCGGCCGTGTCGCGTTTGGCCAGGTCATACCAACTTCAGGGTATGAAACACGTTTAGCCTCAGCAACGGGGACCGATTTATTGAGGTCCATTAATTGTGTTTCCCCATGGTAGGTTCTGTGCCTTGCCTTTTGCGGGGAAAACACACATTTTTTATGCACCGAACTATTTTTCGAGATTCGGCTCTTTTTTTAATGGCTGGAGGAAAGACCCAACAACGAAGGAATATAGAGACATCAGCTTGACTGGAGTCGAGGCTCCGGCGAGCAAATATGGAGATGTCGGAGATAAATGACCGGGGTCGGTATAAAGGAATTCGACCCCAATAGTGATGAATGTATTCAGCCCCAGTATTGGCAAGTGAGGTTGGGGGCGATTAAAGGATGAATCGGCTCAGAATAAATGAGCTCGGCCCCAGCTATTGTCAGTATGAGCGAGCGAACTCGGTTCCTCCATTAATAAGTAAACTCGACCCCACCAGTGATTAATGAAGTCGGTCCGACGTTCGTCTATTTAAATGAATAATCTTGGCCTCGGCTCCCGTCAGTCTGAATAAATAAATTTGGCCCCGGTATTGATAAACGCCCGGCCCCAGTTCTTGTCGGTGCGAATAAATAATCTCAGGCTCGGCCACTGGTGGTTTGGACGAATAATCTCGATTTCAGCTGGGTCGGTTTAAATAGATAAATTCGGGCCGAAATATAACCCAATAAATCATTCGGCTTGATTTGCAGCTACTCTTCTTTCTTTTTTCTTTGAATGGGCCAGCTTGAGGGTGAGGCCCAAATAGAACACGAAATAGATCTCGGTATCATATATGTGTCTCTTTTCTGGATTCCACAGATCCCCTCTCTTTATCGTGTTTTTCTCAAAAAATTGCAACAAAAATCTTCTGCGAAAGAACAAATTTTTCTTTAAATTGTATCGGGTGATTGCCTAGGTCACCTGGCAGTATGTCGGGGATTTGGTCTTCGGCAACTTATAGGAGAAATCAGCTCGTTTTGAGGACGGCGGTCAGGATTTGTTGGCGCCGATGTCACGACGTGAAAACTTAAGTTCGTTGCTGTGGTAGGGCTCGAACTAAGGAGGTCTGGCGATGGCGAATTCGGCCAGAAGTGACGAGGTTGGGCCCGATTCGATTCGGGATTGTCGGAAGACCTCGATATAGGTGATGTCGGAGCATGGCCGAGATCGGTTCCGACTATGAATCGAAGGCTAATCGGAGATCCGGCAACAAATTGGAGGTGAACATGTATGTTCGATCGACCCGGGAGATGTATCGACAAATCGGACCTCGGTGGCTATGGTGACATCGGATATCGGTCAGAGCTCCACGCTTGATGACGTTGAAGTCGGTTGTGGCCGATTTGTGGTGTGGGAATGTCGGGATTATGACGTCGGAGGTCAAGAGGTCGGGTTCCAGTCAAGTCGGACCGAGATGTTGATGGCGGTTCTGCTTCAGCGACCGACGTCGGTTGATTGTATATGACGACGTCGGTTTGGGCTGGCCGTGACGAGATGAGATAGAAATTAAACCTTGGTACTGGTGAATTCGGTCTCGGTGTTACTGAAGTCGCCCCGACTTTGAAACC